GGCCGGTGAAAGAATCTTTATTCCAAGTTGCATTTTTCATCCAAAACCAGTGTGCGTCAACAACATCAACCATTTTATTGACGGTGCAGGTGATTTTGATGCAGGACCCCTCTCTGGCTGTCAGGTCAGTCTCTTTGAGTGAGAAGGTATCGACACAAGACAATTCTGTGGTGGTAAGAGCACATAAATGAAAGTCAGGTCATTCAAGTAACTTTAATGAAAATGTTGTGAGAAGCAAACAATATTATTATATCGGAGATAAAAATAAAATCCTACCTTTTATTATTGCCAGAAATACCAACCACTCGAATATCTTAGCAAACATTGTTATGTGTTACTGAAGCTTGATATCTGTAAAAAAGTGTGTGTACATTATTGTATGTACATCTCAATACATAACCAATTTTTGAAATGTATTTTCTTTATTTAATCCAAATGAGCTATGCAACATTGTAATACTTCCTTTTTTTCTGGGTTTTTTTTCTGAATTGTTTGAGTGTTTCTTCCTTGTTTTAAGATTGCTGGAAACTTAAAGAAATTATGTTTTCTACACCACATTTAGCAGCATTAGCCCTCTTGTCGTTTTTATTTTTCTTACTTTGTTGTTCCCGGTCAAATTTGACCTGTCTGTTTTAACTGCTCTCACATTAACACAAAACCGCTTAAAGGGATAGTGGAAATGGAACCTCAAATAGTTTCGTTTTAACTTATATACAAGCATAATTACGTACCAAAATAATCACACCTGATTAAAAATATATAATAATTGCCTTACGCATGTTAGAAGCACTTTATTGCAGCTTCCCCGAAGTTTTTTAGAAACGAAATGTTCGACTCAGCCAAACCGGAAGTGACGAAAACTCAGGAAGACGATACGATAACAAACCATGGCGTCTATGCAGAATGAACGTGGAAGGGCAAATATACCAGACAAAGAAGAAGGATTGTACGAGGTATCCAGTGATGATAGCGAGTCAGAAACATCCTCTCGGCTTTCCTACGAAAATGTCGTTTTAGGAACTGAATCTGAATCCGGTTCAGTAAGCGACGATGGTGACAATATTGAGCCAGACGATGGACCATTACGTCCTTATTTGTTCGAGCCCGAGGTGATGGTTCACGGGCACGGCATGGGCAATGGCGAGGATGACCAGGACCAGGCGCCAGATGATGCACCCCTACGCACAAATAATCTTGACTGGTAGGTCCCTAAGCATAGCTCACGCATCTTAAGATCACCTGTAGCCTTTACAAATATTAATCATTGTTAACCAGTTAAGCCCGAAGGTCCCCCCAGTGGACCCCTCCCACAGTTTTTTCTCTCTCACATGTCTCAGGGCTTCTTAACATTTATGAAACTATTAATGTTTCATACCCTTTTAAAGGTAAGAAACTCCGCTAACTGACAATAAGAACAATTGTTAGCTAGAAAAAACACAAGAGTAATACCAAGCCTTTGAATTAGCATTGAGCGAAACAATGCTAACTAATGCTAACGCTTTTTTACACACAACACACGGTAGAAATGCCCTTATTACTATCTTAACTGCACAAACAAGATATACGATTTAAAGCTGAGACTCCACAGATTCCACACATGTAATGTCATCACTGTAAGACCTCGAATTCCTGGAGCTATCAGCCAGAAAAGAGAAAGTAAACAACATCCGGTTCCAAAAATATTACAATAATTACGTCTTACCTTTTTTGATTTGTGATCAAAAGTTGTGTTCAACGGAATAAAAACGCATCTCAAGGTTAATCCAATGTCGTTGTGTCACGTAGAATTTTTTACTGATAATCAATCATCATATTTATGGAAATATACTCGGTATAAAGTATTGACACATCTATTCACCATAATAAAGGTCGGCTATTCACATGCAAATGCTATTGAATGTCCGCCATTGTTTGTGCCCGTCTTCCTTTGCTCTCGTCATCACCCGAAGATTCCCGACGATTCCCGAAGTATTTCGTTTCATTGAGAGGGCGCAGTAAAATTGAAAATAAAATGAAACTAGGCGCATGAAATTAAAAAAAATTGTTTATTATGCTTATTTTTAATAAAAATACATAAGTTAAACCCAAAATTCGCGGATTTCCACTATCCCTTTAATGTTATTTATCACCCTTTTAAGCAGTAAACTGTTTATCCGCTTTCGACAACAAGTTTACATGAATAACTGCAGTGAATACACAAAAAATGCTTGTCAATTTGTGTGTGTGTACTATCTGGCTGAACTTACGCATAGAGTTGACTTAACCACCCAACATTCAATAAAAGTGGTGGTCAGCAATTTTATATTTTCAAATGCCTGTTCATATCATAAGGCCTTGAAGCATTCAAATGTAAAACACAATATTTATGATTGATGAAAGTAGTAAATCAGTCAGATTTTACCCGGACACGACAGGAGTGTTAGAATATGGTTATGAATCCCCCACTTTGTAAATTGAATAGTCAGCATTTTTTAGGGTTTTTAACAGTATACTGTATACTTAACTTTCAAATGCCATTTTGTAAATAACCCCTTTTCCTCATTCACTCAACATTTTTCAAAACTCATATTTTTATTCTGGACACAGACCGTGTACCACTTTGTTATTTAGTAAAGAGATAAACATTTTCAGACAGACATCACCTTTTAAGTTAAATAGGCAGTCAAATAGAGGAAATCTAAAATATTAAAGACAACAACATAATCGTGTTTTTACCTCAGAGGATCCTCTTACAGCGTTATGTAGCTCACGCCATCCCTCCTAAAGTAAGAGTAAGATTTAAAAAAGGAAGTTTTTCACACTTGACCTAAAATGTTTTCAAAATTTACATGCTCAATCATGCCTGCCCCGGACCAACATTTTTTATATGATGAAATTGTGTTGTTTCCCCCCTCCATCTGGCTCGCTACAGTAGGCCTGCAACCTCCTTTCACTTCCTCTATTTAATGCATTTATTTTTATTGAAAGCTACTGGGTTGGGTGGTTGAAGTATATTTTACTGGCATTGAGTAGTTACAGTATTTGAAAACGATTTGCAGATTATATGCTAGCAAGATATTTGCAAGGCCCTTTATAATTTCATGCGGATTAAAAATTGTTACAATGTATCAAATTATTTCTGGAGTACTGTATGAAAGTGTGTTTCAGAGATAAACCACACACACACAGGAAACCTTAGACAAAGTAGAAACAAGTTGACTTCACTTCCCCTCCCCAAGAGCCTCAGACACTATCTTCTCAGCATCAGCCGCCATTTCATCGATGGCGCAGTTTAAGGCTTGCTGCATGGCAGCAAAGGAGCGGCTGGCTGAACGGGCATGTCTGGGTAACGCCATCTCAACCAGCTTTAAAGAAACTGTGGCCAAGTCGTTTTGTGCCTTCGCCAGGCGCTGTTGAACCTCGCCCTTAGTGACCTCCACTGACAGTGCACAAGTTCGCATCCCTTTAAGTCTTGTGGGCTCCATGCCTCGCTGACGGGCCAGTCGTTCCACAGATTCATCGTCTAGACACAGAGATAATTGTGCTTTGGTTAGAATCCGTACTGCTACACTTGAGTCCACCATGGAGGCCACAAAGGGAACAGGAATAGCCGACACCCCACCAGATAGCGAGGCAGCTGCCCATACTAGTGCTTTAAATGCATCCTTTTTCTGAGTGACCAGGCTGGAGGTAAGTGTTGGGAGAGCCAAGAGCACCGCGTGGGCTCGGATCTCAGGAAGGTCTCTTTCCATGTCCTGCAACAAGCCAGGAAAGTCAAACTTCTCCAGGGCGGAGGGTCGTACCACATAGACTTTAGGCATTGTCACACCCTGTGATCTCAGCACTTCCAGACTGGTTTTCCGTATTTTTTCTATGCTTTTTTCTGTACATTTTTCTGAAGCAAAGAGAATAAAATACACTGTTTGTTGCTGCAGCGACTGGGCCTCAAGAAACAATCTCACACTGTTGGTTTGGGGCGTCTGTGTGAATGTTATAAAGACGGCATTGTAGCGGGGAAACTTCACTGTGTTCATGTATCCCTCTGGTTCAAATGGAGAGGTGGATGGGAGAGGTGGCAGATCCCACAGACGAAAGTCAGGGTGTTTGGGGTTAGGGTAGCATGCCACTTCCTCCGGTGCAACAGGTGTCGCAGAGGGAGCTGCTCCATCGTCCCCGAAGCTGAGGCCATTGAGCGAGTTTATGAAGGAGGTTTTTTCATCCCCACGGTCCCCAATCAAAGCGAGGTTGATCCTGCTGATCAGGAGGTCTTCTAATGCATCTTTGACCTCTGATAACTTATTGTGGTCTATGGACTCTTTTATGGTCTCAATGAGGTTCAGACTTCTGAAAACATCAGCCATACCTGTGAAAAGATATGCATTGCAATTTTTGAATATAGTTATAAAAGCACATAAGTCAATCAACTTTACCATAGTATTAAGTATAAAATAGATTGTGGCAACAAAGTTCGATAGTACCCTTGTAACATACAACTAAATACCTGAATTTACCTGTATTTCTGGTGTCACAGGAAACAATCTCACTCAACACTGGTGCACACAATGTTTAAAACTGAACTAAAGGTGTACATGGTGTGTTAATAAAAGTACATTTCACAACCAAAGGTCTTGTTTAACATACATTACTATCAGTATCACTAAACCTGTTGATTATTTCTGTTATTCTGATCATTCACAGTGTTCAAACCTGTCAAATATGTCCTTTTTGCCAATGCAACATTTCAATGTATTACAAACTGCACACACTCACCTAAAGGTCTTGAGAAGCAGCCGTGAGGTTGAGAAATGTGTTCTTGGTTGTCAAATCTTGACTCTTTTGCAGCTCTGAAGCACAAGCAGTGTCAGGTTGATCTATTTAAAGCTGTCCAGCGAGTGGGACATTTGTAATCCTGTTAGCTTAGCCTTAATCCAAAATCCCTCTGAGCACATGCCCACTTTGGGTATATGTTAAACTGTACTTTTCAAAGCCTTCAAGGAGAAGCACATAACGAAAACATACACTTTTTAAATAAAGAGTCATTTGAATAGCCCCATTGTTTTTATTATTAAACTGCAATGTTTCACTAATAAGCATTACAGTCATGCAGAAAGGAATATGTTGCCAAATCTCACCAGTAGGACCATGAAGAACTTTAGCAAATGTGTTTCATTTGTTATGTACCTCAACAATTTCAATAGTGAAAATAAATACAAAAATGCCCAAATAAGTATAGAGTATGAATACATTAAACTGAAAGCATAAAACAAGTGTCTTTGTTTATAATTGTGTGGGAAGTTTCTCAAAGGTTGCTGTGTATGAAATAAAAGGACTAGCCAAACATTTTGTAATTTAGGTATAAATAGTTGATATACGTTTTATACACTCAAGAGATTTGCCTCCTTAATTAATGATACCCAAAAATCACAATGTTTAATATGACAAGTTTCATGTTCTTTACTATGAAAACCATTGTTACATGCATGTTGGGTTTGGCCATATACTGAAGGCTTTACCAATAAAGAGGAACAAAGTCAAGTTAATAAATGTGAGGAAGTTGTGTAATGTACTCTTGTTAGAAAAAGCTTCTTTCTTCCCTTTTTAGAACCCAGTATGCAAACCATCCAACATCTGGCTGGTGTGTCATTTTAGACTCACCCTCTCACAAAATTATTTCCTGTGTTTGTGACAGCAGAAGACAGTGTTAAGCATCCTTTAAATATATATGCGAGTTAGTTCAAAGTAATTGGACTTCAAGTTAAGGTTGCGCAGTTTCTCTGTTATGCTAATAGTTAGATAAAGTTAACTGCTTTAATACATGCTCAAATATATGCTTTATAACAATGAGTAAAATGTAAATTAAAAAGGAAAACATTCACCCAACACACATCCTGGTTCGGACTTTCTCAACTGTAACAGCTGGTGCAGCTGGCTGGACATAGTTAGTAATGGTCCTAAAACTACAAATTGCTCTTTTATCTTCGTTTTTGTACTAAGTTCTTACATTGTGTGCTTTTGAGGATTATTTTAAACTTCACATGGAGTTGCAATAGCTTTTTTCCCCCATTTAAAATGGTTAAACTAAGCTAAGCTAACTCTGCTGGCTCTATGGCTTCATATTAGCACAGACATGTGAATTGATTTGCTATTCTCCTCTAACTCTCAGGTATAAAACAGTTGTTGAACTTCTGTATATGCTAGCATCTTGTTGACTTGGATCATGGCATACAATTCAAACAATCACATTCTTAACAAAAAACACTTTGACATACAGTTTCTTAATGGCAATAAAACATTCTAACACATTGTCAATTAAATTAATAGGATTTCTGCTTACATGGTTATGTTTTAAGTAATATAAAAAGTAAATAAGTTGTATAAGCTATACACAACTGTAAATGGGACATTATATGTACATATATTCACATACTACATAATCAAAACCTGTTTACATTCTAAAAGTAAAAATGCAGACTTTGGTACACACAAAGCTAACATGCCCTCTCCTTGCACACCAGCACTATAATCATTTTCATGAACAAAAGAAAATTGTTTGGAAATGCTCAATGGAATAATAAACAACAGAAGAAAACAGCATTTGAACAAAGAAACCCTATACAACACAATAATAAGACCGACTTCAATGTCTCCATAGTAATGAAATATGCAATACTATCTGCATGCATTTCTACAAACATAACAATGCATTATAATGGAAAGCCTAACTGCTACAAAAAGCCTATCATTCTAGCTGATAAAATGTACATGCAGTTCAGAGTGGGTGGATAGGGGATCGGCCATGTGAAGCAGAAACTGAGGATTACAAATGTTTTGCATATGGAATAGGTGTAACCTACAGCGGTTAGATTACCAAAAAAAACAACAGTTTAGCTTGATAAGGTCGGTTAATTTCATGCTGAGAGCACAGTGCTTTGTTAAAAGGTTTTTCAATAACATGTCAAATTGATTGCATGCATACTTTCTAGTCTGTAAAAACATGCAATATGTTTGTAGTTCTTGTTCTTGCATGCATGTTACGCCAATGTTTAATCACCCATTGTGTTTGCACTGAAAACCCTTTTTTAAACATGTATCATTTTGTGATTTCAAGCCACACTGTGCTCAAACCTTACCCATTATTTCATTCAAATTTGAGTACAATGCCATATCCTGACCTCCCTCCACCTCCTCTGCAGACATGCACTGTTCTACCTCTTCGTTGCCCTCCACCTTTTCACCATCCTGTCCACCATCATCATGTCTCTCCCCTTTCCTTTTAACTTCAGCGTACTCTGTCTCTGTGGTCTCTTTAGTAGCCTCTGGCCCATTGGGACACTTTATTTTCAACAAGCGGAAGTCAATGTTAGAGTATTCCACCTCTCTTGGTACCCCGTCATCGTTTGGTGGAGCCACAGCTCCTCCTTCAGCTGCCTCTTCGTCTTGGGTCCCAACATTTTGCATGGCTTCACCAGCACTGATCTGTCAGGTAGAAATACAAAATAATGTACATGATACAAACCAGACAATTTATCAGTAACATACAATATGTTAAGATATCAAAACATTTCAAACTTTACAGTCATAGGCTGACTACAAATCATATATTACTTTTTTCCACTGCCAACAAGTTTCAAATGATATACATATATATGTTTCTTCTGATCTTCCAGCGGGAAACTGCATAAATATGACTATTTAAATGAAAAACAAAATCATGGAAGAGCATCTCTGATCACAAGACTAATAATTGACCAAATATGTAATGAATTTATATATTAAAGCCAGCTGTATCAATATAAATGGCAATGGAGCCACTTGAGTAGTTACCATCTCCAGAGTCTCAGCGATTTCTTCAGAGTTCTTCTGTTTTCTTCTGGAGAGAAAATTAAATAAACAGAAGCAAAAATTAATAACAATTAATAATCAATCATTTGTACAAGTCTTAAAAAAGGACCAAACTTCTTATTTAGAATGCTTCAGCCCACAATTGATGAAAATCATTAAAACATGTATTCATGTAGGCAATCATGACTGCTAACCAATTTTCCTCTCTTTTTTGTTTTTACTACTTACCAGGCAACTTCTGTTCTGTTTTTAGATCTATTGCTTTAAGACTCTATAAAGTATTCTGCTTTTAACAGCATTGCATACATGTCAAAAAGAAACACAGCAAAGTAAAATGTGTACCTCTGGCATTTTCTGCCCAAACAGCAGATGGATGTTGAAACAAGGAGCCCAATCAAAAATGCAATGATGAGTTGCGGCAGATTAAAAGTCTTAAAAAAAATATGGATGGGATCTGGAAAAGAGAACAACAGATAATTAAAAGAAATAAGAGCTGTGATCACTGCTCTTTGTCAAAAATGGTTTAAATAGGTAATGAAAATGTCATAAAACAGTGGCCTTGAGTTGGGAGACGTTTTTAGCTGTCAACACTTACCCTTTGGTTCGACCACTTTTCTCGTAACATTGAGGTTTTCTTTTACTTCCCCAATGTCATTGCTGCTGATGCACTCGACAGTGGTGTAGTTGCGATCTTTTAAAGTTACAGTAATGCTGAGGTTGACTGCATGGTTTGGGAAATTGGTAGTGACAGAGTATTCAGTGTGAGCGTCTAACAGCGGCCATTTGATGGTGGGTAAAGGAAACCCCTCACTGATACACACACACGTCAGAACCTCCGACTGAACCACACATCCAGAGGTACTGAAGATCCTTGGAAGAACTGAAAAACACACATAAGGGATTTGAACAATACAGCAAACATACAGTAAGATGATATTATTGCATTTAAAAGGAGAATAGAACAGCCTACTCACATGTCACATTTACTTCAGCATGTGTGCTCAGAGTAGGGATCTGGTGTTTTGCCTTACAGACGTACAGTCCAGAATAATCTACTGTCACATTACGGATGGTAAGAGTGGCTGTTCCAGTGTTGTTATCCAGGATGATTTTGGTTTCTTTTGTCAGGTTTCTGATGGAACCATGTTTAGTCCATGTGATAACAGATGGAGGGAAACTTTCAATGCTGCAGGTCAGATTCAAATCATCACCATCTTTCACAGTAGTTACTCCAGTGATCACAGGTTTCTTCAAATCTTTAAGAAAATTTGACAAAAAATAAGAATTTGTTTAACAAAACGTTAAATTACATCGTCTCTATTGAATAATTCAATGTGGTTCAAGCTAAGGCGGAACACCAGCTGGAGCCTTAGGGTGGGTGAGACATTTGAACAGAAGGATTTTATTGGTTAAAGCCCATATGTACAAATTGAAATCTCTATTAATACCCAAAATTAACATTGGTTTGCGAATGCCCTCCCATAATTAAGATAGCTGAAAATAACTATCTATATACTATTGAAAGAAAATGGCACTAATAGTGTTACACCAACTGCATGGTTTGAGTTTGAGAAATTGGTAGGGACAGAGTATTCAGTATGAGCGTCCAAAAGTGACCATTTGATGGTGGGTAAAGGAAAACCTTCACTGACACACAACACACACACACACACACACACACACACACACACACACACACACACACACACACACACACACACACACACACACACACACACACACACACACACACACACACGTCAGAGCCTCCGACTGAACCACACATCCAGAGGTACTAAACATCCTTGGAAAACTTGCAAACACTCAAAGCTAACATGAACACAGCAAACAAACACACAATGATATTGATATATTTAAAAGGAGACTAGAACAGCCTAATTCTGCTTTTACATTACGGATGATAAGAGTGGCTGTTCCAGTGTCGTTATGCAGGATGATTTTGGTTTCTTTCGACACGTTTAGGAACCATGTTTAGTTCATGTGATAACAGATGGAGGGAAACTTTCAACGCTGCAGGTCAGATTCAAATCATCACCCTCTTTCACAGTAGTTATTCCAGTGATCACAGGTTTCTTTGCACATTTAAGAACAAATTAAACAAACCATAAAAACCTATTTGACAAAATATTAAATTGCAGCGTGGTTATCAAATCATTAAAAAAACAGTTTGAATAATTCCTTATGCGGTTCGAAGATGAGGCTGAAAATCTCCTAGAGGCCTTAAAGTGCCTAAATATGGGTGATCATTAAAGGAATGATCATAAGAGCCGGATATGTAAGAAATACAATCACCATCAATAACTAACTTTAAATACACTGACACTCTTGCAAATGCCCTCAGATAATAGAGATACTCAGAAAGAACAGCAATTATTAAAATCATTTAGAAAATATTCAAATTTTACATCAACTGTTTTTGTCAGTAAGCTGTTCAGATATGTTGCCGTACGGATGTTCTGTCCAAAATGTTCTGATGTCATATTATGGATGATAATATGACCGCAAACTTCAAAGTGATATTTCCATTGATTACCAGTCCTTTGAGAAAATACGATATGATCTATGATATGAGTAGGTGCACTAAAACAGGTTAAAGCTTTGGATCCCGTCAAGTCACACGCACAAATGACATTTGAGAGAGAGATATAAAAAATGGTCTCAAAAAAGGGAGACAGATTTTATTTGACTGTTTTAACAAATCAGAATGTAAAATATGATACTCACAGGTCACATTAAGAGTCACAGTCTCCTCTGCAGTGATGTTGTTTCTGAAGCTGACCTCACAGGTAACATTGTTGTTGTGGTGTTCAGCTGAAGGGTTAAAGGTCAAAGTGGAGCTGTGTCTCTGTGTGACAGCAGTCAGATCCTCAGTCTTGAGAGCAGTGATGTTTCCTGTGATCTGAGAGTCCTTCTCTCCTGCTCCTCTCCATGTCCAGGTGAATTTAGGATCAGATCCAGAACAGAGACCAGGAGCAGTGCAGGTCAGTGTGGTCGGCTGCCCCTCTGTCAGAGCAGGAATCATCACTGAGGGCTTCTGGGTCAGACCTAAAGACAGAGCAGTCTGTTAGTGAAATCCGTTCAACAGCCTGAAGGTCATCATTCAATTGACTTTGGGCACAAACATCAGATACTTATATCCTAACTCCCAAGAAGTATAAGTATCAGACACTAATACTAATAAATATGAGTTAAATCAGGAAATGCTGCAGTTCCTGGTTGCCCACAGAATATTAAGATGTGTTGGTTCAGTTCATGCGTAAACAAATAAACAACATCTACATTATAACTTTTGTCAGAGCTTCATACCTTTAACAGTCACAGTAGTTTTTCTAGAGAATGTGAATCCATCGGTTTCACTCTTAATAACTCTGAGCTGATACCCTCCAGAGTCTGACTCGGTGAGGTTGTTGATGAAGATGCTGCAGTTCCTCTGACTCACATCAGGCTCCAACAATGAAACCCGTCCCTGAGTATGAACATCGTTCTTCTCCTTGGTTTGGAATATAATGTCAGAATCGACACATTTGGATTCAGATTTATCACATTTGTACCAAACTATATGTTGGGGTGTGAAGCTCTTATCAGTAGTAAAGGAACACGGTATCACGACACAGAGTCCAGCCTCTGCTGTTATATCTGCTTCACTAAGAGTGATACAGAAGTTTCTAAGTTGACAGTGTCTTTTTCCCCAAACTGATGCACCTGTTAAAAAACAGTGAGACAAAAACAAAGAAAGGAGATCTTTATATAAACAAAGCCAATATACCCTGATATTAAATACATGGTAAAAGAAAGCAACACTAAACAGACATGAGAGATTTCAGCATTCATCATGTTTCTGAAGCCACAATATTTTTGGTAAATAATAATCGCTCGCATAACTGAATGTCCATCACAGAGTTTCAATGTGTATTAAATAGATGCTGTGAGAAATACTACAAATATAAAGTTATAGAAAATGATTATTTAATTCATAGCTTTTTTGTTGGCATCACGAGATTATAATAAAGACACATACCTGATGAGAGCAGAATCCCCCAGATAAGAACAAACATCCTGATTCGATGATGTCGACAGACCGTCTCTATCGTTTGCAGAATTAAAAACATAAACAAATAATTACATCAAATAAACAAAACTCTCAAATATGTCAGTGGATAAGACTGGATCAAGAACAACTCCAACATTGCCAGCACAGCTTCAGATACAGGGTGTTGCATCTCCTGAAGTAACATTCATAAATGTGGCTTAGATCTGCTTCAGGATTATTAGTCTCTTGACATGTTTTATTGCATCTGCTACAAAAAGCTGCCAGGTAAACTTGAATTATCTGAAGCAGCTTCATCTACAATCCCGCACATTGAATTCAAACTCACTTATTTAAAGTGCTGAATTTTCAAAGCATTTTATGACATTAATAAAGAAAAAATGACTTATTTGAATATATTTACAATTCGCAGCGATATCTTAAATATTAAAAAAAGGTAAATGTTGGGTTTCACCTCTTGTTGCCATTTATCCGCTGCTCTCTTCTCTCCGGTGTTCTCGGCTGAGTTTCTCTGCTCTGACTCTTCCTCTTCTTCTTCCTCATTTTCTACTTCTTCCCTTTTTGCACTTCAAATTGTTCCAGGAAGCTTCTTTACAAATTAGCCCAGCTAGACTCCTACACTTGAAGCTAAAATATGAAATATCTCAGAGATCAAATATCTCAGAGATCATGCAGTATTTGTATTTGATGATAATGAGCATCTCACAGTAAATAAAACATCTTGAAGTGAGCAAGTCTATAGTATTTATATGGTTTATCATGACCGAAAGGTGTGAAAAACATTGAGAAAGCGGTAGTAGCCTACCATGAGTGTGCGTCAGAATATTATGTCAGAAGACAACAAAATATGTGTTACACAAACCATTGTTCTACATTGTAATGTAAAACACGTTATTCCCAGAGTGAAAAGTGAATGCATCTCAATGATCTGTATTACGTGTTAATATCTGCAGTTAAATAATGATGGCCCATTTAAAATAGTCATTTGTTTAATAATTAGGTTTTTAAATATAAAACTCCCGAATAAGTGCATTTATTACGTAAAGATAAAAAGTATTGTTTAAAACCTATAACTGTTTTAACTGGTTGCAGCCTTATAACCTGTACTTGTAACGCTATGGTTTTGATATTTAGTTTTTTGTGCAACGCCTTATTTTAAGTTCTCGTAAAAGTCACTGAAGTGGTTATTCATTCACACATTGCCTTTTATGGCATCACTGTATCCTCTTTAATAACTTCCTGTTCACACTTCAAGCTGCTACATGATAATCTGTTTTTAAAGCTACGGACGGACAACAGTTTTTTCATTATCAGTTACGCCTGATTATTGAACCGTCACGTTTGCAGTATTTGCAACGTTTACAGGTTCTGTAGGAAGAAAGGTTTTGTTTTTACTAACCACACAGTGACTTCATCCCCAACATGAAGGGTTTTCTTTTTTCTTTTAAATAGAATAATACAAATAAAAAAAGAGAAGATATTGTTCACTCTTACGGAAGTGTGAGTCAAGCAGACTCATAAGGCATAAAGGGAAGCAATACGTAACGCCTTAAACAAGAACACTAACATGGCTATAAAGACCAATCTTGCTATATCTTTTATCCGTTTGAGAAAACTGACCACATGCAAAGATGATAAGATGTTTAAACTGATTTTGAAATGATTTGCAGTTCATCAAGCCTCCATATTTATACATATATGACATATACATCAAATAATGCAGAAAATAAAAGTTCAAGGTAGAACTTCCTGTTTTTCAACTCTGTGATGAAACAATACTAACATTATCAGAGATATCTTAGTCGGGTCTAAAGAGTTCTTACAAACCAGAGCTGGCAGACAGCCAGACGTTGACATTCCTAGAGTGACGTTGAAAAAGAGAAACCTCTTTCCTACACAGGGTGAAGGGGAGGGTTTCATTTTAAACCCTAGTATAATTACATTAATTTTGAACAAAGGCTCGACACTGGAAATACTTTATTTCACCACAATGTACATCTATTTTAATCATAAAGGTTTGATCTGAGTTATGAGGAGCAAAACAACAGCGTTCTACAAGGTCAAACCCAGAAGGTGTGTCTGACTGAACAATGAACGTCATTTCAATCAGGAGAGACGTGATGTATGGAATACATATTATTATCGGTCACATTATATAAATGAAACATAATGATGACAGTTTATAACAAGTGAATGAAATGGTGTTTTGGCGATTAGGCCCAGGTTTTGTAGGATATCAATCGGGAAGGGAAGAACCGTTTCCGATGAACCCCCCTGGGTCTAGACACTGGTGGTGGTGATAAGTGGTTAGGTCCGGTTGGAAGGGAGAAGGTTAAGCTTGGCCCTGAGTTGAAAGCAGGAGGCGAAGGGGTGGAGGAGGGTTGCGCGTTGACACCTGGAAGACAGCTGATAGGAAAGGGGAGAGCATATATAGAGGGATTAACAGGTGCGATAATTAGGCTTGTAAATGGAGGGGAGTGATAGGTTAGCTGAGGAGTGGCGCTCCCTGTTATTTAGTGCAGGGAGCGAGTATTGCCATGACGTGCAATACGGAGTGATAGGTCTTCCTGTCTGAACTTGTGCTAAGCTTCATATTAATATATCTGTTAAATTAGTGCATACAAATACTACATATTTATATTTTGGGCAATTCAGAAGAACATTTATGTTTTTTGTAATGTAAAGAATTAAAAACGGCATTAAATACTTTTTGGAGTTTTATTTTGGTTATTGTTTCATACATGTTTGTCTAATAGATGCTGATATGAGACCAATGTTACGAAAAGTGACAGCATTTCCTGTTTCTGCTGGAAAGAGGGGAGTTCGTCCCAAAGCTTCCCGCTGTATTTACACCCCCTACCTGAAAAAAGGGAGCCTCATTCAGCTGTGAGTGTGACGACAGACGGAGTTCACCCTGTCACCGAGTAGAAGTGGGTAGGGGGAAGTTTGGAATTTGGCCAGAGTGTCAGTGATTATCCACACCTGCACATGAAGTTACTAATCAAGAAATGAAACTGCACTCAGAAGACTTGACGTTATTGGCTCCATAATATGGTGGCCCAGAGATCTCAACCAATCAGCATCAAGTAAACCATGAGGAAGTCACATGGAAAGACACAACTTGAACTGATGATACAAATAATAAAAAACACCAATTTTACTTCACATGTTGTCACATTCAAACACAACAAAATACATCTTTAGCTTCCATGTAGGTTATGTATTTATTTAGGGCTGTGAATTTTAAGTAGTATATGTTTTATTGTGTAGCTATTATTGATGTATGCTTTTATCTAATGCATTCAGACATTCATACAAAAATAATGAAGGAGCTTCAACAAGTTTTGTTCCAAAGTGTATTTCAGTAAAGCTATCTGAAAGTCATTCCAAAAGACAAATGACATCCTCTCACGAGAAGTGTGAAGGGAATAAGTAATGTTCACGCTACAAAGGGAAACCTTCAACCAACATCTGTTATTTTTGATGACAATGGAGTGGTAACAAATGTTCAGTCTGACTGGCGAGGTTATATTCTTTGGGACAAATATTTGTAGTTCTTCCATGATGAATGTTTATGAATCTATTTAATGAAATGGCTATGATTATCATGATAATTTCTTCCTTTTTACGTATACCTGACAGAAAATATTACAGATTGATAACGATACAAATGCAATTAAAAATGAACATTTTAATTAAAAAAACATTATATCAATTTCAACATTTTCAGATCTCCAGAGATTAATGAATCTGCGAAGCACAAGCTACAATAGACTGTGATTACACTGAATATGCACGCTTCACGATCTTCCCCTGGGTAAGTAAAGCTTCATGAAATGTAAGGTATAAAAATAATAATAAAATAAGTTGCAGTTAACTGAGAAATGTCATAATCCAAGAATCTTTTACACGATGAAAGTATGATTTAGGAAATCTGTCAGTGTTGCAGAATCATCTCCTACTGCACTCAGTTGACGTTTGTCGTTGTTAGTTCAGAGGCTGGGCGATCACATCATAATCTGATGACACCTCTGTTTTCTTGATTGACATGTAAGTTCTGTCCTCTTGGTTTGGTTTCACCTTTTTTCTTGAGTGCCTATGAAAAGAAGAAAGTGTGAGACATGAGGTTTGTCTAAAAGACTGTACTGCATTGACAGAGCCTTCAAAGCATTACATGATAATATACTACAGTTACATACCAGAGGAACATCATGAGGATTATGCAGATTACATTTACAATAAGAGATACAGCAGCAACGCCAATCCAGAGTAGCACTTCACATGGTCCATGTTGATCTGCTATTAGAAAGTACATCATGTAGATTGTGTCACTGTTTAAGATTTATATTAATGCTGTAAAGTATTAAACATTTCATAAAGCAGTTTGGGAGATATTTTAGTAGTCAACACTTACCATACTGTTTTAACACTTTTCTCGTAACATTGAGGTTTTCTTTTACTTCCCCAATGTCATTGCTGCTGATGCACTCGACAGTGGTGTAGTTGCGATCTTTTAAAGTTACAGTAATGCTGAGGTTGACTGCATGGTTTGAGAAATTGGTAGTGACAGAGTATTCAGTGTGAGCGTCTAACAGCGGCCATTTGATGGTGGGTAAAGGAAACCCCTCACTGATACACACACACGTCAGAACCTCGGACTGAACCACACATCCAGAGGTACTGAAGATCCTTGGAAGAACTGAAAAACACACATAAGGGATTTGAACAATACAGCAAACATACAGTAAGATGACATTATTGCATTTAAAAGGAGACTAGAACAGCCTACTCACATGTCACATTTACTTCAGCATGTGTGCTCAGAGTAGGGATCTGGAGTTTTGCCTTACAGACGTACAGTCCAGAATAATCTACTGTCACATTACGGATGGTAAGAGTGGCTGTTCCAGTGTTGTTATCCAGGATGATTTTGGTTTCTTTTGTCAGGTTTCTGATGGAACCATGTTTAGTCCATGTGATAACAGATGGAGGGAAACTTTCAACGCTGCAGGTCAGATTCAAATCATCACCATCTTTCACAGTAGTTACTCCAGTGATCACAAGTTTCTTCAAATCTTTAAGAACATTTGACAGAAAATAAGAATTTGTTTAACAAAACGTTAAATTACATCGTCTCTATTGAATAAAATAGAATAATTCAATGTGGTTCAAGCTAAGGCGGAACACCAGCTGGAGCCTTAGGGTGGGTGAGACATTTGAACAGAAGGATTTTATTGGTTAAAGCCCATTATGTACAAATTGAAATCTCTATTAATACCCAAAATTAACATTGGTTTGCGAATGCCCTCCCATAATTAAGATAGCTGAAAATAACTATCTATATACTATTGAAAGAAAATGGCACTAATAGTGTTACACCAACTGCATGGTTTGAGTTTGAGAAATTGGTAGGGACAGAGTATTCAGTATGAGCGTCCAAAAGTGACCATTTGATGGTGGGTAAAGGAAAACCTTCACTGACACACACACACACACACACACACACACACACACACACACACACACACACACACACACACACACACACACACACACACACACACACACACACACACACACACACACACTCGTCAGAGCCTCCGACTGAACCACACATCCAGAGGTACTAAACATCCTTGGAAAACTTGCAAACACTCAAAGCTAACATGAACACAGCAAACAAACACACAATGATATTGATATATTTAAAAGGAGACTAGAACAGCCTAATTCTGCTTTTACATTACGGATGATAAGAGTGGCTGTTCCAGTGTCGTTATGCAGGATGATTTTGGTTTCTTTCGACACGTTTAGGAACCATGTTTAGTTCATGTGATAACAGATGGAGGGAATCTTTCAACGCTGCAGGTCAGATTCAAATCATCACCCTCTTTCACAGTAGTTATTCCAGTGATCACAGGTTTCTTTGCACATTTAAGAACAAATTAAACAAACCATAAAAACCTATTTGAAAAAATATTAAATTGCAGCGTGGTTATCAAATCATTAAAAAAACAGTTTGAATAATTCCTTATGCGGTTCGAAGATGAGGCTGAAAATCTCCTAGAGGCCTTAAAGTGCCTAAATATGGGTGATCATTAAAGGAATGATCATAAGAGCCGGATATGTAAGAAATACAATCACCATCAATAACTAACTTTAAATACACTGACACTCTTGCAAATGCCCTCAGATAATAGAGATACTCAGAAAGAACAGCAATTATTAAAATCATTTGGAAAATATTCAAATTTTACATCAACTGTTTTTGTCAGTAAGCTGTTCAGATATGTTGCCGTACGGATGTTCTGTCCAAAATGTTCTGATGTCATATTATGGATGATAATATGACCGCAAACTTCAAAGTGATATTTCCATTGATTACCAGTCCTTTGAGAAAATACGATATGATCTATGATATGAGTAGGTGCACTAAAACAGGTTAAAGCTTTGGATCCCGTCAAGTCACACGCACAAATGACATTTGAGAGAGAGATATAAAAAATGGTCTCAAAAAAGGGAGACAGATTTTATTTGACTGTTTTAACAAATCAGAATGTAAAATATGATACTCACAGGTCACATTAAGAGTCACAGTCTCCTCTGCAGTGATGTTGTTTTTGAAGCTGACCTCACAGGTAACATTGTTGTTGTGGTGTTCAGCTGAAGGGTTAAAGGTCAAAGTGGAGCTGTGTCTCTGTGTGACAGCAGTCAGATCCTCAGTCTTGAGAGCAGTGATGTTTCCTGTGATCTGAGAGTCCTTCTCTCCTGCTCCTCTCCATGTCCAGGTGAATTTAGGATCAGATCCAGAACAGAGACCAGGAGCAGTGCAGGTCAGTGTGGTCGGCTGCCCCTCTGTCAGAGGAGGAATCATCACTGAGGGCTTCTGGGTCAGACCTAAAGACAGAGCAGTCTGTTAGTGAAATCCGTTCAACAGCCTGAAGGTCATCATTCAATTGAATTTAGGCAAATATATCAGATACTTATATCCTAACTACTAATAACTATAGGTACAGATGCTAATACTAATAAATATGAGTTAAATCAGGAAATGCTGCAGTTCCTGGTTGCCCACAGAATATTAAGATGTGTTGGTTCAGTTCATGCGTAAACAAATAAACAACATCTACATTATAACTTTTGTCAGAGCTTCATACCTTTAACAGTCACAGTAGTTTTTCTAGTGAATGTGAATCCCTTGGTTTCACCCTGAATAACTCTGAGCTGATACCCTCCAGAGTCTGACTCGGTGAGGTCGTTGATGATGATGCTGCAGTTCCTCTGACTCACATCAGGCTCCAACAATGAAACCCGTCCTTTGAACAAAGACTGAACCTCGGTGTTTAACTTGTTGGTATTGAATATAATGTTAGCATCAATACATTTTGTAGATGATTCACATTTATTGTACCAAACTATATGTTGGGGTGTGAAGCTCTTATCAGTAGTAAAGGAACACGGTATCACGACACAGAGTCCAGCCTCTGCTGTTATATCTGCTTCACTAAGAGTGATACAGAAGTTTCCTGTTTGACAGTGTCTTTCTCCCCAAACTGATGCACCTGTTAAAAAACAGTGAGACAAAAACAAAGAAAGGAGATCTTTATATAAACAAAGCCAATTCACCCTGATATTAAATACATGGTAAAAGAAAGCAACACTAAACAGACATGAGAGATTTCAGCATTCATCATGTTTCTGAAGCCACAATCTTTTTGGTAAATAATAATCCGTTGCATAACTGAATGTCCATCACAGAGTTTCAATGTGTATTAAATAGATGCTGTGAGGAATACTACAAATATAAAGTTATAGAAAATAATTATTTTATTCATAGCTTTTTTGTTGGCATCACGAGATTATAATAAAGACACATACCTGATGAGAGCAGAATCCCCCAGATAAGAACAAACATCCTGATTCGATGATGTCGACAGACCGTCTCTATCGTTTGCAGAATTAAAAACATAAACAAATAAATACATAAAATAAACAAAACTCTCAAATATGTCAGTGGATAAGACTGGATCAAGAACAACTCCAACATTGCCAGCACAGCTTCAGATACAGGGTGTTGCATCTCCTGAAGTAACATTCATAAATGTGGCTTAGATCTGCTTCAGGATTATTAGTCTCTTGACATGTTTTATTGCATCTGCTACAAAAAGCTGCCAGGTAAACTTGAATTATCTGAAGCAGCTTCATCTACAATCCCGCACATTGAATTCAAACTCACTTATTTAAAGTGTTGAATTTTCAAAGCATTTTATGACATTAATAAAGAAAAAATGACTTATTTGAATATATTTACAATTCGCAGCGATATCTTAAATATTAAAAAAAGGTAAATGTTGGGTTTCACCTCTTGTTGCCATTTATCCGCTGCTCTCTTCTCTCCGGTGTTCTCGGCTGAGTTTCTCTGCTCTGACTCTTCCTCTTCTTCTTCCTCATTTTCTACTTCTTCCCTTTTTGCACTTCAAATTGTTCCAGGAAGCTTCTTTACAAATTAGCCCAGCTAGACTCCTACACTTGAAGCTAAAATATGAAATATCTCAGAGATCAAATATCTCAGAGATCATGCAGTATTTGTATTTGATGATAATGAGCATTTCACAGTAAATAAAATATATTGAAGTGAGCAAGTCTATAGTATTTATATGGTTTATCATGACCGAAAGGTGTGAAAAACATTGAGAAAGCGGTAGTAGCCTACCATGAGTGTGCATCAGAATATTATGTCAGAAGACAACAAAATATGTGTTACACAAACCATCGTTCTACATTGTAATGTAAAACACGTTATTCCCAGAGTGAAAAGTGAATGCATCTCAATGATCTGTATTACGTGTTAATATCTGCAGTTAAATAATGATGGCCCATTTAAAATAGTCATTTGTTTAATAATTAGGTTTTTAAATATAAAACTCCCGAATAAGTGCATTTATTACGTAAAGATAAAAAGTATTGTTTAAAACCTATAACTGTTTTAACTGGTTGCAGCCTTATAACCTGTACTTGTAACGCTATGGTTTTGATATTTAGTTTTTTGTGCAACGCCTTATTTTAAGTTCTCGTAAAAGTCACTGAAGTGGTTATTCATTCACACATTGCCTTTTATGGCATCACTGTATCCTCTTTAATAACTTCCTGTTCACACTTCAAGCTGCTACATAATAATCTATTTTTAAAGCTACGGACGGACAACAGTTTTTTCATTATCAGTTACGCCTGATTCACTAGCAGGAACCACGCCACAACAGTGTGATGTTTGTAAGTTTATTGAAGTAACATGTGAATGATATGAGGGGGGTGAAGAGATGATCTGGGAGGACGAGCTGTGGTCCGTGCAGTGGGAGACTCAGAGTGGGGGTTCCGTCTCCGGCATGATCTGCGTGGGCTGATTACGGGCCCCCAGACAATACCTGGGATTAAAATGTTAGTATATACAGTATATAAATATGCACCGTTTAAATATAAATGTTGACGGGTAGAGGATGTTGGGATGAAGGGATGAGGGATGAAGGGATGAGGGATGTTGGGATGAGGGATGTAGGGATGAGGGATGTTGGGATGAGGGATGTGGGGATGAAGGATGTTGGGATGAGGGATGTTGGGATTTGGGATGAGGGATGTGGGGATGAAGGGATGAGGGATGTGGGATGTGGGATGTAGGGATGTTGGGATGAGGGATGTAGGGATGTTGGGATGAGGGGATGAAGGGATGTTGGGATGTTGGGATGAGGGATGTTGGGATGAGGGATGTTGGGATGAGGGATGAGGGGATGTGGATGTAGGGATGTTGGGATGAAGGGATGAGGGATGTTGGGATGAGGGATGTAGGGATGAGGGATGTTGGGATGAGGATGTGGGGATGAAGGATGTTGGGATGAGGGATGTAGGGATGAGGGATGTTGGGATGAGGGATGTGGGGATGAAGGGATGAGGGATGTAGGGATGTTGGGATGAGGGATGTGGGATGTAGGGATGTTGGGATGAGGGGATGAGGGATGTTGGGATGAGGGATGTTGGGATGAGGGATGTTGGGATGAGGGATGTAGGGATGAGGATGTAGGGATGAGGGATGTAGGGATGAGGGATGAGGGGATCGCTCGGTGTGAGTCGGAAGGGGAACTGTATGGGTAGAAGGAGAGGGAGGGTGGGTTGAAAGGATGGAGACAAGCGGTGGCCCGGAAGTTTTGCCGGATATAAATAGGGGTGGCCGTGGTTCGAGGCGGAGTTTTAGGCGTGGCCATGCTCCTGAACCTATGTTAACAATTTAACCTCATTTCACTAGCAGGAACCACGCCACAACAGTGTGATGTTTGTAAGTTTATTGAAGTAACATGTGAATGATATGAGGGGGGTGAAGGGATGATCTGGGAGGACGAGCTGTGGTCCGTGCAGTGGGAGACTCAGAGTGGGAGTTCCGTCTCCGGCATGATCTGCGTGGGCTGATTACGGGCCCCCAAAAGAGTCGGATTAAAGCAGCTGACTTAAGCGTGTGCGTGTCTGAGATCATTGAGATTGTTGCGGATTTAAGCGTGATACGTTTGGGATGACGAGCGGCCGAGGGCCTAGATGGTTGGATAAGAGATGCCCGGTCTAGCTGTTGTGGACGCTGCGCCAATGCGGAAGGAATGGCTCGAATAATATTCTGAGCATATCCCCAAAATAAGCAACGCGTTGTGGAAGTGTTTCTGGAACCAGAAACGTGTGGCCGTTTTCCCTGTTTTGGTGAGAAAGAGTGGGTGTTGAGGCGTTGCGTATGCATCGTACCTTGCGCTGAGGTATTTGGTTAGTGGCTCGTATGGCTGGGATACGAGTTCAGGCGGAAGATGTGGAAAGAAATTCCCAGCTGATCCGTTTTATTCCGGAGTGTGAATATGAGAGTCGTTTGCCGTGGAGGGCTAACAGCTGCCATTTCGTGCATCTGTCTGCCTGTAAGTAGTTTGACAAGAGGAGAGTGATGCGCTGTACTTTCTCTGAGGATAGAGAAACCCGGAAAGACATTAAGTCCAGGGTGATGCCTAGAAACTCAATGGAGGTTGTAGGCCCTGAGGTTTTCCCCTCAGACAGAGGAATGCCAAGGTCTGAAAATGTTTGTGTGAGTGTGCTCAGCCCGCGGCGGGGGGGTGAGGATGGTGGAGTGACGATGAGAAGTCGTCAAGGAGATGGAGCACGTAGGGGAGTCTGTGGTTATTTGTCAAGATCCATCACAGCGCTTGTGAAAGGGAATCAAAGATTTTGGGACTGCTTCTGCAGCCGAATGTGAGGCGTACTGAGAAGTAATAGGCTCCCATCCAGTACACTCCGAAGAAACGCCAGAAATCTGGGTGTATAGGCAAGATCTTGAATGCACTGGTGATGTCTGCCTTAGAGAGCCATGCTCCCCGGCCTGCTAAGCGGATGAGGGTGATGGCGTGGTCGATGTTTGCGTATTGCATTGAAAAGTCTGGGCTTGGAATGACGCTGTTAATGCTCGGGATGGCTGAGCCGTGTGGAGAAGACAGGTCTATTATGAGCCTCTTTTTCCCGGAGTATTTCCTAGTAGCTATGCCTATTGGACTGATGTGGAACACTGGAAAGGGGGGACTATCGAATGGGCCTATCATGAACCCTTCTTTGACTTCTTTGGCTAGTAAGGTGTCAACGGCAGGAGGTTCTGTTAAAGCGGACTGAAGGTTTTGGCAGATGTGAGATGTGTCGGGCAGTATTGCTATGCCTGGGTGTGAACCATGGGTGAAGCCATTGGTGAGAAAGTAAACAGACTATCTGGATGATTCGCTGAGGCGGTAGCTAAGTTGCTTATCTTGACGGGTGTGCTGAGGTGCCGTGCTAGTCAATCTGCTGATGTAGTTGGGTTGTGAGGGCAGGTGCTCCTGACATGAGCGCCGCCGCAGAAAGAGCAGATTTGCATGAGGCGGCAGCTAGAAAAAGAGCAGCCTAGGTCATTGAAATTGTTGCACACCATCCTGCCTCCCTGCGGGTGATAGACGGTTAAAGTCTGAGGCGTTGCATGGTGGAGAGGAAAGTGAGTGAGGTGTTTGAGATGGTGGAGAGCTGACTAAGCATGCTAAGGCCGGGTGGGGAGGGGCTCCGCATAATTGGCAAGCGAGGGATGCGCGTGCTGCGAAGATGCGGCAGTAACGCTCGGAGTCCGGAGCACCCCGGTATGTTCCCTGGTTGAACGGCTTGATGCGGCCGGCGGCTTGGCTAGCGAAGTTTATTTTATTATTTGTATTATTTTCCCTGAGAGAGAGACCGGAGCGTCTACTCGCGGCGAGGGTCAGAGAGAGAGACCGGAGCGTCTGCTCACGGCGAGGGTCGGAGAGAGAGAGACCGGAGCGTCTGCTCACTGCGAGGGTCAGAGAGAGAGAGACCGGAGCGTCTGCTCACTGCGAGGGTCAGAGACAGAGAGACCGGAGCGTCTGCTCACTGCGAGGGTCGGAGAGAGAGAGACCGGAGCGTCTGCTCACTGCAAAGTTCAGAGAGAGAGAGACCGGAGCATCTGCTCACTGCAAGGGTCGGAGAGAGAGAGACCGGAGCATCTGCTCACTGCAAAGTTCAGAGAGAGAGAGACCGGAGCATCTGCTCACTGCGAGGGTCAGAGAGAGAGACCGGAGCATCTGCTCACTGCGAGGGTCAGAGAGAGAGACCGGAGCATCTGCTCACTGCGAGGGTCAGAGAGAGAGAGACCGGCGCGTCTGCTCGCTACGAGGGTCAGAGAGAGAGAGACCGGAGCGTCTGCTCACTGCGAGGGTCAGAGACAGAGAGACCGGAGCATCTGCTCACTGCGAGGGTCGGAGAGAGAGAGAGACCGGAGCGTCTGCTCACTGCAAAGTTCAGAGAGAGAGAGACTGGAGCATCTGCTCACTGCGAGGGTCGGAGAGAGAGAGACCGGAGCATCTGCTCACTACGAGGGTCAGAGAGAGAGAGACCGGAACGTCTGCTCACTACGAGGGTCAGAGAGAGAGACCGGAACGTCTACTCACTGCAAGGATCGGAGAGAGAGAGACCGGAGCATCTGCTCACTGCGAGGGTCGGAGGGAGAGACCGGAGCGTCTGCTCACTGCGAGGGTCAAAGAGAAGACCGGAGCGTCTGCTCACAGCGAGGGTCGAGAGAGAGATATGTGAGCGCATGTCACAGCCTAAGAGACAACAACAACACATAACAGCTGTTCCTCTCAGTTCACTCTGATTGCTCCTCTACTTCATGTATCTTTCTTTCTTCCCGTCTTTCTTTTTACATTTGATACTTGAGGTTTTGTAATATATTGTTGTAAATTGTTTAATGAATGAATTGTATTTGTATTTTTTTTTTTTATTATCATATATCCTTGACGCTTTGGCAATATTGTTCACCTGACATTCATGCCAATAAAGCATATTGAATTGAATTGAGAGACCGGAGCGTCTGCTCACTGCGACGGGTCAGAGAGAGAGAGACCGGAGCGTCTGCTCACTGCGAGGGTCAGAGAGAGAGAGAGACCGGAGCGTCTGCTCACTGCGAGGGTCAGAGAGAGAGAGAGACCGGAGTGTCTGCTCGCTGTGGGGGTCAGAGAGAGAGTCCGGGGCGTCTGCTCGCTGCGGGGGTCAGAGAGAGAGACCGGGGCGTCTGCTCGCTGCGAGGGTCAGAGAGAGAGACCGGAGCGTCTGCTCGCTGCGAGGGTCGAGAGAGAGAGACCGGAGCGTTTGCTCACTGCGAGGGTCAGAGAGAGGGAGACCAGAGCGTCTGCTCACTGCGAGGGTCAGAGAGAGGGAGACCAGAGCGTCTGCTCACTGGGTGAGGCGTTGTTGCTACGGGGTTGGCTGCTAGAGGAGGAAGGTAAGCGGAAGCTGGGTTGCTGTGGACTGCTGAAGGTAGGAAAGAAGAAGGGATGGAGGGATGAAGGGATGTATGTGCAAGGGGATTTTCGTGAAGCCTGTGAGCAGGCACAGAGGGCAATACGACCTGGCCCCCGCCAGGGGGTGCTGGTGAGTAGGGCTGTGTCCGAGGAGGAGGACGGAGGCCTGTGACGTCACGACCCGTGATGCGCGCGCCCCGCGCGATGGTTGGCTCTGGAGCAGGAAGAGCTGTGTGTGTCGTTGTTCTTGCCGTTGTGCTGCTGTAGGCTTTGTAGAGGTTGAACAGTCTAGCCTTGTTGTCGTTTCGGTGAAAGTGGATGCCGTTTTCTTTCAGGAAACGTTGGAGTTCGGGCTCTGTTTCGGAGCGCGGCTCCGTCCGAGAGGCATGTCGGGTGCGCCGCTGCGAGTGGCCGGGGGCTGCTAATGAGGCAGGCTGCAGTTGGTGGGGAGATTGGAGCTGGCTGTGCCTGTTGTGGCCCCGGTTGTTTGCCCTCGCTGGCGGAGTGGACGAAGCCTGGGACCTGTCTGGAGTTGGAGGTGTCTCGTTGGGGGAGCTGTTAGAAATTAAAATCAATGTTTTGATGGCATAATGTACCTTAAATGTACCTTCAGTTTAAATGCTGTTTTATACTGAAAAACCAGAAAATTATTGTGCACAACCAGTTAAGCTTTTATTCTGAAAATCCGTCATCTCCGGTTAGCATGTGGCTAGTTTACCATTTCTTATAGAGGTTAATTTAGTAGCGAAATGACATGGAGTGATGCACACCGAAACCTACTGATTTTAACACTGCAACTATAGAAGTATTATTATTGCTGAATATTAAATGAAGGTATAGTTTCTTTGAATAAAGTTATTGTTTACAGACGTGGGTAAGATGTGACAACATCCGGAATGACCAGAAACCAAACCAGCCGTGAAGTATTTTCTAGAATATTAACTACAACGTTTAGAATGTGTTAAAGGAAAAGTGATGAAAGACAATATGAGGAGAAGAGGCGTGTTTAAGTATGTATTGAATGTACAATGCCTGAATCCTCTGTTTAAACGTAACAACGGACATTAAGATGTGGAGGGCCGGCCCGCAGGGAGGAGCCTGCAGAAGCTATATAAGAGCAGCACCTGAGCGGTTCGGCCTCTTTTCTCTGCTAGCGAGGGCCAGAGACAGCTGCTTTTCTGTCGGACAATATCCTGTTTGTGACTTTACCACGCTTTTTATTAATTAAAGTACCAATTTGAAAACATCTCAGAGACTCCATTTAGTCTCCTTTTTAAGCTTCTCTTTCCTGGACGCGAGAATAACCATCACAGTTAACAGAGCTTGAGTGGGAGCGGTTGCGGCTGGTGTGTGGGACACTGATTGCCGAGCGCACGCGGCTCCGTTCGGATGCTTGGCTTAGATCCAACTGCTGAAACGTGGATGGCGGGTAGCCGATGTCGAAGAGATCTTCGTCTGACTCCGGTGAGTTGATCAGCAGTTCGGAATCCATGGTAAGTTGAATGTTCTCCTGGTAGCGTTTAGCTTGTTTGAACCGTGACGACGCGCGGCGTGAATCACGGTCTGGCTGTCCTTGAAAGGATGGAGACAAGCGGTGGCCGGAAGTTTTGCCGGATATAAATAGGGGTGGCCGTGGTTCGAGGCGGAGTTTTAGGCGTGGCCATGCTCCTGAACCTATGTTAACAATTTAACCTCATTTATTGAACCGTCACGTTTGCTGTATTTGCAACGTTTACAGGTTCTGTAGGAAGAAAGGTTTTGTTTTTACTAACCACACAGTGACTTCATCCCCAACATGAAGGGTTTTCTTTTTTCTTTTAAATAGAATAATACAAATAAAAAAACAGAAGATATTGTTCACTCTTACGGAAGTGTGAGTCAAGCAGACTCATAAGGCATCAAAAAAAGGGAAGAAATACGTAACGCCTTAAACAAGAACACTAACATGGCTATAGAGACCAATCTTGCTATATCTTTTATCTGTTTGAGAAAACTGACCACATGCAAAGATGATAAGATGTTTAAACTGATTTTGAAATTGTTTGCAGTTCATCAAGCCTCCATATTTATACATATATGACATATACATCAAATAATGCAGAAAATAAAAGTTCAAGGTAGAACTTCCTGTTTTTCAACTCTGTGATGAAACAATACTAACATTATCAGAGATATCTTAGTCGGGTCTAAAGAGTTCTTACAAACCAGAGCTGGCAGACAGCCGGACGTTGACATTCCTAGAGTGACGTTGAAAAAGAGAAACCTCTTTCCTACACAGGGTGAAGGGGAGGGTTTCATTTTAAACCCTAGTATAATTACATAAATTTTGAACAAAGGCTCGACACTGGAAATACTTTATTTCACCACAATGTACATCTATTTTAATCATAAAGGTTTGATCTGAGTTATGAGGAGCAAAACAACAGCGTTCTACAAGGTCAAACCCAGAAGGTGTGTCTGACTGAACAATGAACGTCACATTAATATATCTGTTAAATTAGTGCATACAAATACTACACATTTATATTTTGGGCAATTCAGAAGAACATTTATGTTTTTTGTAATGTAAAAAATTAAAAACGGCATTAAATACTTTTTGGAGTTTTATTTTGGTTATTGTTTCATACATGTTTGTCTAATAGATAGCATTTCCTGTTTCTGCTGGAAAGAGGGGAGTTCGTCCCAAAGCTTCCCGCTGTATTTACACCCCCTACCTGAAAAAAGGGAGCCTCATTCAGCTGTGAGTGTGACGACAGACGGAGTTCACCCTGTCACCGAGTAGAAGTGGGTAGGGGGAAGTTTGGAATTTGGCCAGAGTGTCAGTGATTATCCACACCTGCACATGAAGTTACTAATCAAGAAATGAAACTGCACTCAGAAGACTTGACGTTATTGGCTCCATAATATGGTGGCCCAGAGATCTCAACCAATCAGCATCAAGTAAACCATGAGGAAGTCACATGGAAAGACACAACTTGAACTGATGATACAAATAATAAAAAACACCAATTTTACTTCACATGTTCTCACATTCAAACACAACAAAATACATCTTTAGCTTCCATGTAGGCTATGTATTTATTTAGGGCTGTGAATTTTAAGTAGTATATGTTTTATTGTGTAGCTATTATTGATGTATGCTTTTATCTAATGCATTCAGACATTCATACAAAAATAATGAAGGAGCTTCAACAAGTTTTGTTCCAAAGTGTATTTCAGTAAAGCTATCTGAAAGTCATTCCAAAAGACAAATGACATCCTCTCACGAGAAGTGTGAAGGGAATAAGTAATGTTCACGCTACAAAGGGAAACCTTCAACCAACATCTGTTATTTTTGATGAAAAAAGCAGATGCAACAAAACATTAGGAAATACAACATTTCAAGAGACTAATAATCCTGAAGCAGATCTAAGCCACATTTATGAATGTTACTTCAGGAGATGCAACACCCTGTATCTGAAGCTGTGCTGGCAATGTTGGAGTTGTTCTTGATCCAGTCGTATCCACTGACATATTTGAGAGTTTTGTTTATTTGATGTAATTATTTGTTTATGTTTTTAATTCTGCAAACGATAGAGACGGTCTGTCGACATCATCGAATCAGGATGTTTGTTCTTATCTGGGGGATTCTGCTCTCATCAGGTATGTGTCTTTATTATAATCTCGTGATGCCAACAAAAAAGCTATGAATTAAATAATCATTTTCTATAACTTTATATTTGTAGTATTTCTCACAGCATCTATTTAATACACATTGAAACTCTGTGATGGACATTCAGTTATGCGAGGGGTTTATACCTACCAAAAATATTGTGGCTTCAGAAACATGATGAATGCTGAAATCTCTAATGTCTGTTTAGTGTTGCTTTCTTTTACCATGTATTTGATATCAGGGTCAATTGGTTTTGTGTATATAAAGATCTCCTTTCTCTGTTTTTGTCTCACTGTTTTTTGTGCATCAGTTTGGGGAAAACAACCCTGTCAACTTGGAAACTTCTGTATCACTCTTAGTGAAGCAGATATAACAGCAGAGGCTGGACTCTGTGTCGTGATACCGTGTTCCTTTACTACTGATAAGAGCGTCACACCCCAACATATAGTTTGGTACAAATGTGATAAATCTGAATCCAAATGTGGCGATTCTGACATTATATTCCAAACCAAGGTTCAGTCTTTGTTCAAAGGACGGGTTTCATTGTTGGAGCCTGATGTGAGTCAGAGGAACTGCAGCATCTTCATCAACGACCTCACCGAGTCAGACTCTGGAGGGTATCAGCTCAGAGTTATTAATGAAGATTCCAAGGGATTCACATTCTCTAGAAAAACTACTGTGACTGTTAAAGGTATGAAGCTCTGACAAAAGTTATAATGTAGATGTTGTTTTGTTTTTTTTACGCATGAACTGAACCAACACATCTTAATATTCTGTGGGCACCCAGGAACTGCAGCATTTCCTGATTTAACTCGTATTTATTAGTATTAGTGTCTGATACTTATACTTCTTGGGAGTTAGGATATAAGTATCTGATGTTTGTGCCCAAAGTCAATTGAATGATGACCTTCAGGCTGTTGAACGGATTTCACCAACAGACTGCTCTGTCTTTAGGTCTGACCCAGAAGCCCTCAGTGATGATTCCTCCTCTGACAGAGGGGCAGCCGACCACACTGACCTGCACTGCTCCTGGTCTCTGTTCTGGATCTGATCCTAAATTCACCTGGACATGGAGAGGAGCAGGAGAGAAGGACTCTCAGATCACAGGAAACATCACTTCTCTCAAGACTGAGGATCTGACTGCTGTCACACAGAGTCACAGCTCCACTTTGACCTTTAACCCTTCAGCTGAACACCACAGCAGCAATGTTACCTGTGAGGTCGGCTTCAGAAACAACGTCACTGCAGAGAAGACTATGACGCTTAATGTCAACTGTAAGTATCATATTTGACATTATGATTTGTTAAAAAAGTCAAATCAAATCTGCCTCCCTTTTTTGAGACAATTTTTTATCTGAAGCAGCTTCATCTACAATCCCGCACATTGAATTCAAACTCACATATTTAAAGTGTTGAATTCTTAAAGCATTTTATGACATTAATAAAGAAAAAATGACTTATTTGAATATATTTACAATTCAAAGCGATATCTGAAATATGAAAAAGGTAAATGTTGAGTTTCACCTCTTGTTGCCATTTATCCGCTGCTCTCTTCTCTCCGGTGTTCTCGGCTGAGTTTCTCTGCTCTGACTCTTCATCTTCTTCTTCCTCATTTTCTACTTCTTCCCTTTTTGCACTTCAAATTGTTCCAGGAAGCTTCTTTACAAATTAGACCAGCTAGACTCCTACACTTGAAGCTAAAATATGAAATATCTCAGAGATCAAATATCTCAGAGATCATGCAGTATTTGTATTTGATGATAATGAGCATTTTACAGTAAATAAAACATCTTGAAGTGAGCAAGTCTATAGTATGTATATGGTTTATCATGACCGAAAGGTGTGAAAAACATTGAGAAAGCAGTAGTACCATGAGGACAACAAATATCTACACAAACCATCGTTCTAAATTGTAATGTAAAACACGTTATTCCCAGAGTGAAAAGTGCATGCATCTCAATGATCTGTATTACGTGTTAATATCTGCAGTTAAATAATGATGGCCCATTTAAAATAGTCATTTGTTTAATCATTAGGTTTTTTTTAAAATATGAAACTCCTGAATAAGTGCATTTAATAGGTAAAGATAAAAAGTATTGTTGAAATCCTAGTTACTGTGTTAACTTCTTGCAGCCTTATAACCTGTACTACGCTATGGTTTTGATATTTTTGTTTTTTGTGCAAAGCCTTATTTTAAGTTCTCGGAAAAGTCACTGAAGTGGTTATTCATTTAAACATTACCTTTTATGGCATCACTGTATCCTCTTTAATAACTTCCTGTTCACACTTCAAGCTGCTACATGATAACTTATTATGCTGTATTATACGTTTACAGGTTCTGTAGAAAGAGCTTCCTGTTTTTTCAAGCCTGCTTTGAAACAACACTAAAATGAATCAGATATATCTCAGTATGGTCTAAAAGGTTCTTACAAACCAGACCTGACAGACGTTAACATCCAGTCATGTGGAAAAAGAGAAACATTTTCCCTGAGGCAAATAAACGTTTGCCATTCAACAGAGCTTTGGGAAAATAAGGCACAGAAGCTTATTGTGGTTAAATTAAATGGTATCGAATTAAATTACACTTCAGCTCTCAGAGCAGAGAGGATGGATGTGGTTGCCCCTTAACACATCACTGATATATTGGTAGCATCAACATTTTCATGGATATGCGGAAACAGATCTAGAAAGCTTAAAAACTAAACACATTAAAGCACAACACCGCTTAGAAATGACTTTCCAGTCCAATGAAAGGATGTCCACAGACTCTAACATTTAAAGATGTGAAGTGTCTGTAACGTCAGTAAATCTGGCTGAATTTGGAGTTATAAGATATCAGTGCCAAAGTTCATCCACAGAAATTAAAATCCATCATTAGTCCATAATTTCAACCACAGCTGATGAGATCAAGAGACATTGTATCCATAAGCAACTCCACTATGTAACAGCCTTCAACTCTCAGCCATGATGTCCTTCACATTAGAGTACACAGCAACATCCTCCTCTTCCTCATGTTCATGATGTTTTGTCTCCTCATCCTCCATGACGACAGCCTCCTCCTCTTCCAACATACAACCTTCCTCTCCGCTATTGTCTTCCTTTTCCTCTTTTACTTCTTTTTTAATTTCAGCGTACTCCGTCTCTGTGGTCCCTGGCCTCTTTACTGCCTCCCTCTGACTCTTTCTTTCCAACATGGAGAAATCAATGCTCGCGTACTCCACTTCTTTTGGTCCTCCATTGAGATCAGTGTCTCTTTTCTCTGCTGCCACAGCTCCTTCTTCTTCAGCTGCCTCTTGGTAGTAGGTTTGATAATCTTCCGCTGCTTGACCAGCATCTATCTGTCAGGTACAACGTCAAATTATACGACTCATTCAGCAGCTGCTATTTTCATCAAAATTGTGTACAAGACACGTCAAATTGATATATGGCATATATACATTATTGACAACTCTATCTTTAAAATCATAGCATAATTACAATTTTAATTTAGAAAATAACTTGACACTTGCTGGAGATACTGCATTCCATCACAATGTGAATCTGCTTTTATCATAAAAGTTTGATCTGAACAATTGATACTGTGGTTAAAAGACTCCTTGGCTCTGATTGGAGGTTTTCATTCTGCGTGTAGGTACATTTTATACACACACACACACACACACACATACACACACACTATTTCTAGAAAGACTATAGATACCAGTGGATCTTCTTGACTGGCCACCATCCCCAGAGTCTCTTCCAGATTTCCAGAGTTCTTCTGTTTATTTCTACGAGAGAGAAAGTATATAAAACAGCAACAGAGTTATATTTATGTATGAAGATTATCCACAAAATAATCGACGTATTGATTATTGATTAAGTGTACCTGTGGCACTTTGTGGCAAAACAGCAAAGGACTGCTGAAAGAAGTAACCCAATGAAAAAGGCAATGATGACTTCCAGCTGTGAAACAAGTTTTAATATGTTTTTGGATTGATCTGCAATCAGAAGAAACAAAAAGAAAATATTCTGTGTTTAGCATTCTAATAAAAATGTAACAGTTTATTCCCCGCATCTTGCCAAATGATAGTGTAATTATGCAAAAATAAAGCAGTTGTCTACAGTAGCTAGAGTGTTTTAGTTGACAACACGTACCCCCTTGTTCCATCGTGTTTATTCTGATGGTGAGGTTTTTTTTTGCTTCCCCATTTTCATGGATGCTTACACACTCAACAGAGGTGTTGCTATAATATTTTAAAGTAAGGCTGCTGTTGACTGTGTGGTTTAACACAGTAGTAAAGACAGAGTACTCGGTGTGTTTCTTCAACAGTGGCCATTCGATGGTGGGTATAGGAAACCCTTCGCTGATACACACACAATTCAGAATGTCTGAATGAACCACACATTCAGAGTTGTTGAAGATCCTTGAAAACCCTGTAAACACAAAATCAAAAAATATCACAAGATTACAAAAAAATACTGAAATGTGAACAAAAGCTTCCGAATTAATACCATCTACTTACAAGTCACTGTAACATCAGCATACATAGTCACCGTGGTGTCCAAGTGTTGCACGGTACAGCTGTACTGTCCAGAATATTCTGTGGTCACATTAGGGATGACAAGTGTGGCTGACCCATCGTTGCTCTGCAGGTACGCATCAGGTCCATTGTTCAGGTTTGTGTTGAAGCCAGGTTTTGTCCATGTGATAAGAGACGGGGGAAAACTTTCAACACTGCAGGTTAAATTCAGAGAATCTCCATCCTTAACAGTTGTATCCCCAGTGATCAGAGTTTCCCTCGTATCTGTGAAGCACATTAACCAAATATTTAAAGTTACTGTAAGATGCAATAAAAGCTGAAAATACATTGAACATTTTATTTCTTATATTACCCAAACACATGAATTGTTGGAATATCTGTCAAATATATGTTCAGTAAAATGCTATCTGTAATACTGCATTAAATATAGTTACAATAATAAATTAATATGCTAAACAAACATGAAAATAAATACAAAAGTGTGATACGCTGTGTTGAAAATGGAATTAATATATCTACAGTAGAACAACGAAATAAGGAGACTGTGTATGATTGTTTTTTCCTGATTGCGTTCATACCGTTTTGGCCAAGGTTTTTTCTATTTCTTTTAAAATAACACTGGAGGGTGCCAAACTATAAATAAGGTATAGTTTCGACAGAAATCCCAATAATTATTATTGTCTAAAGATGTGGCTCCAGCGCAGCCAGAATTGATCTTCAGCTGTCAAAAAACACTTGCTCTTATGGTTTCAGTTTCACAAGAGGAAAGAAATGCAAGAAATGTTCTGTATTAGACCAGTTGTACAAAATACTTACATGTGACTGTTACATTAACTTTTTCCATCAGGGTGTAGTTCATATGTCTCGCTGTGCAGATGTACAGTCCAGAATCTTCTGGCGTCACGTTTAAGATGGAGAGGATGCCGATTCCTCTTTCTTCCTGCAGGAAGGTCTCAGTGCCGTTCTGCAGGTCAGTTAAAGTGCCGTTTTGAAGACTTGTTCCTGATCCATTTTGCATATTTCGGTAGTTAGTCCACATGATGAGGGATGGAGGGAAACTATCAACGCTGCAGGTCAAATTAAGAGTCTCCCCCTCCTTCACAGTTGCATTCCCAGAGATGTTGAATTTCTTCACATCTATGAGAAATAATTTAATCTGTATTATATACTGTATAGTGTTAAAGTGGCATTACATTTCAAGCTTTCCTGCAAGAACACTGTTTATATTGAAACCCCAACACAAATCAGAGAACTAGAAAGAAACACTACTACTCACAGGTCACATTAAGAGTCACAGTCTTCTCTGCAGTGATGTTGTTTCTGAAGCTGACCTCACAGGTAACATTGCTGCTGTGGTGTTCAGCTGAAGGGTTAAAGGTCAAAGTGGAGCTGTGTCTCTGTGTGACAGCAGTCAGATTCTCAGTCTTTAAAGCAGTGATGTTTCCTGTGATCTGAGAGTCCTTCTCTCCTGCTCCTCTCCATGTCCAGGTGAATTTAGGATCAGATCCAGAACAGAGACCAGGAGCAGTGCAGGTCAGTGTGGTCGGCTGCCCCTCTGTCAGAGGAGGAATCATCACTGAGGGCTTCTGGGTCAGACCTAAAGACAGAGCAGTCTGTTAGTGAAATCTGTTCAACAGCCTGAAGGTCATCATTCACCTACATGTTGGCAAAATATAAATACTCTTTCTTAACATTTACAAAGCAATGTGTAAGAGGTAAATCAGGAACTGCTACAGTTCCTACTGGTTGCCCACAGATGTCGACAAAAGCTTAACATTACTTCATCTCCTATTAAGACTAAAAATAAAACAAATGTTTGTGCAAAACAAAAATGAACATTTTGACTGTTAATATTTGTTGTAGCTCTCCATACCTTTTACAGAGAGAACTGCTCTTTCAGAGTATGTAAGTCCATCAGGGTTCCCATACAGTAAACCATTAACTCTGAGCTGATATGCTCCAGAGTCTGACTCGGTGAGGTCGTTGATGATGATGCTGCAGTTCCCCTGACTCAGCACCGGCTGCAACAGTGAAAGCCGTCCTTTGAACACAGACTGAACCTTGGTGTTGTGCTTGTTGGTGTGGAATATCATGTCAGGATCGCCACATTTTCGATTGGACAGTTTACATTTGTACCAAACTATATGTTGGGTTTTAAAGGCTGCAGCAGTAGAGAAAGAACACGGTATCACAACACAGAGTCCAGCCTCTGCTGTTATATCTGCTTCACCAAGAGTGATACAGTAATATCCTTGACAGTATGGTCTTCCCCAAACCGATGCACCTGTTGATACAAACAGTGACAAAACAGGGATATAGGTTATTTTAATTTCGACAACATATCATTAAATCAAATACATTCTGATTAAATAAATGATAAAGAAAGGCTGCTATATGACTTTTTTTGTTTCATAGGCTATAACAAAAAGGCCAACTGAATGACTATCTGAAGTTAGTTAATCAATGCTGCAAGGACTTGTTACTTATGAGCTGGTGGAAAAACGAAACACTTGTAATTTGGAAGCATGTCAGGAAAACAATGAAACAAAGGACACTTATCATGACATATATTAGCATTATATGTTTTCAAATCTTTCCTTTTGGCATAACAACATGATATACAAATGCATACAGTACCTGTTTCTGCATGGATGCCCCTCACAGAGAAAAGCAGCGTTGCACAGATTAGAACAAACATCCTGATTTGATACTTGAGACAGTCAGTCTTCACAGGACAAACTTGACACTGAAAGTGCAGCAAACATAGAGGAAGTGAACCAAAGGGAAGCTCCACCTCTGACACATATCTTAATACAGGACATTGCACATTAAGATAATCTGTAATTGCAATATTACTCTACCCTGGGGTGGGACTTCCCTGACATTTGTTAGTCTAAAGCACTTTGTGACACTTGTTCAAAATATCTTATGAACTTTAGGGTTAGCTTTTGAAAACTGCAACGTTGCTCCCCCCTAATTAATTTACTGAAATAACTGTGACATATATCATTATTAAAATATTTCAAAAGGACTTAGTCCATGCCCAAGCACTCTTTCTTAAACTGAGTTCAGCCTCACTTTACCAGAAAGTCAAAGTATGTCAAAAAGCGTTTTTGTGATATAGCTAGGAGATAACATTTCCATTTAACAAATTCAATGTGATCAAAAGGTTATTTTAAACATAAATATAGATGTTGTGTCTTACCTGTTTCTTGCTGTCTCCTCTCCACAGTGATCTCTGCTGAGTGTCTCTGCTATGACCTGACTCTTCCTCTCCTCTCTCTTCTATCTCTTCCCTCTTGTGCAACGTCAAAGTTTCAGGAAGTTTCCCAACACATAGCATGAGCAACACTTTTTTTGTTTGCTTGTTTTTTTCAGATCATTACATTACATGTCACTTGTTAGACGCTTTTATCCAAAGCGACTTACATACATTCAATCCCCAGCAATTTGAGGTGAAGTGTCTTGCCCAGGGACACAACAACATGCTGACTGCAGTGGGACTTGAACTTGCTATCCCCTGATTCGAAGTCCAGCACACTGTATCCACTGAGCCTCATCCTCATGACTATGTCAATATTTTGAAAAGGAAATATGTAAATGTGTGATTTAATATATATATATATACAATCTTGTTAAATCCTAAACAACAGAAAATGATTGTAAGTAGTACAGGTATAGTTTTTTTTTAAGCATTAAAATTGAACGCCGTATGAAAGGTCTATATATCTTCTTCCTAAATCTCATAATGTACATTGCTGCATATGGTCTGTGTTCCTAATATCTGCAGTGAATGGAGTGATGATGGCCAAATGAACAGTGTTTTATGAAGTACAACTATTAACTTGTGATAGATGAGGTAGGAAAAGGCTCATAAAGAAAGTAGGGCATTTCCCCATTTCAACTGCATGCATCCTCTTAGGAAGCACTTCTGCATGTGTGTGTCTTTCTGTTTTTTATTCTGCAATATCTGAGTAGATACTGTTCTCTGTAAAGTCGCTGCAATGCAAGAGGCTAGAAAGATCGACTTGAAATATGTCAATATGTCTGCATACTTATGAACATTGTGACAATGAATTCTGAAATCCTGATCGGCACCAACTTCACAGCTGATTGCCATTTACAAGTTGGCTGAGATGCCTTCTCCTGCAACAAGTGCCTTTCATTTTGGTTGGAGCAATTTCAAGGACTCTGTTACTCTGTTGTTTGACTTTTTATTTTACATAGAATACTAATACTTTTGCCAAAGGTTTTTTTTATCTTGTACGCGTGTTTGTAGAAGCCAGGAGTTAAATAACGAATATCCAAATGCAAAAATAAATAATAAAATCCCTACCCAACAAACACATCAAAGAGGGTCGTGAGGCTAGTCCAGGAGTTTCATGATTCAATCAATCAATCAATCAATGTTTATTTATATAGCCCAATATCACAAATGTTACATTTGTCTCAGTGGACTTCACAGTTTGTACAGAATATCAGTATGACAATACGACACCCTCTGTCCTTAGACCCTCACATCGTACAAGGAAAAACTTCCGGAGAAAACCCACAGTTTAAAGGGAAAAATGGGAGAAACCTCAGGGAGAGCAACAGAGGAGGGATCCCTCTCCCAGGACGGACAGACGTGCAATAGATGCCGTGTGTAAATTGAAAAGATAATACATTTGCAACATAGGTAGTCCAAATGTTTGGAAATGCATGTGTGTATAATAGGAAGATGAATATATCCATCCAGGACCTACAGTATGATCCAGGACCACAGCCACGACTCAAGATCCAGGGCTCGCGATCCAGGACACAGGACCGCAGGATCATCCATGACTCCGGATCCCGGCGTATATAGACACCAAAAGAAAGACATTTGGGGAAGCTGGGTTAATCGGAACATGAGAGTACACAGGTATAGACAGAGAGAAGGAAGAAGTAAGATGTCCCCCGACAAACTAAGCCTATATCAGCAAAACTAGGGGCTGAATCTAGTCAGCCCTAACTATAAGCTTTATCAAAAAGGAAGGTCTTAAGCGCACTCTTAAAAACGGATAGGGTGTCTGCCGCCCGAACACAAACTGGAAGCTGATTCCACAAATGTGGAGCTTGATAAGAAAAGGCTCTGGCTCCCATTGTACTTTTAAAGACTCTAGGAACAACCAACAACCCTGCATTCTTGGAACGCAATGCCCTAATAGGACAGTAGGGTATAATGAGTTCTTTAAGGTAAGATGGCGCCTGCCCATTAAGCCCCTGTCACACTGTCCCGAAATTGACACCCGATGGACACACGATAAAGGAAATGTTCAAATTCGGCTGTGATCGTAGCAACATCGGGCCATTCGTGAGGGCATCTAAGCCATCGTATGACCGCCGGTGGAGTTTCTCAGGCTCCGGCAGCAACTTCGTGAGCGGCAACTTCGTGAGCGGCAACTTCGTGAGCGGCAACTTCGTGAGCGGCAACTTCGTGAGCGGCAACTTCGTGAGCGGCAACTTCGTGAGCGGCAACTTCGTAAGGCACTCGTGAGGGCATCTTGTCAAATCGTGTCATCTTCGTGTTATCATCGGTGCATTCGCCCTCACTCTGATCGGGGCGAATGCCCGATGGCACCGATGATAACAAGATGCCCTCACGATGGCCTTACGAAGGGCAAAATGGACACACGAATTCAACACGAAAATGAACCTTCGCAAGGTCCTTCGGCAATTTTTTGGCATGCCAAAGATTTTGCCACCGCTCACGAAGTTGCTGCCGGAGCCTGAGAAACTCCACCAGCGATCATACGATGGCTTAAGATGCCCTCACGAATGGCCCGATGTTGCTACGATCACAGCCGCATTTGAACATTTCCTTTATCGTGTGTCCATCGGGTTGTTTTATTGCACAACAAAATCATGTAAACATATTATGTAAATAACCCAATTTGTGTTCTGTGAAACTAAAAAGGATATGATGTATTATTTTGAAGGCGAGTTGACATAAAGTTGTTGTTGCTATGGAAACAACATGACGGAGAAAACGTAATATCTTCTACATATAAAGACGGATAAAGTAAAGAAAAAAGTCTGAAAATATCAGTACAGTATCATAGTACTTTAACATAATTGTTTGTGTTACTTTCGTTGCAGTTGTATGTCTTAAATGTAATGTAAATGTTGCCTTCGTGTGTGGTTCGGGGCCATCTTCGTGCGAAATTCACAATTCCATATTCGTGTGTCCATCGGGTGTCAATTTCGGGACAGTGTGACAGGGGCTTTAAGGGCTTTGTAGGCGGGAAGAAGAATTTTAAATTATATCCTGTGTTCTATAGGGAGCCAGTGTAAGGCAGCCAGAACAGGAGTAATGTGGTCCCTTTTCCTAACTTTGACTTGTACACGAGCTGTAGCATTTTGAATCAGCTGAAGCGACTTGACTGACTTCTTGGTACACCCTGATAATAAGGAGTTACAATAATCCAGCCTTGAAGTAACAAATGCATGGACTAGTTTCTCTGCATCGTTTTGAGGCAAGATATGCCTGATTTTTGCAATGTTACGTAGATGGAAGTAGGCGGTCCTTGAAATAGATTTTATGTGGGCGTTAAAGGCATGGCAAGGCAAGGCAAGTTTATTTATATAGCACTTTTCAACACAAGGCAATTCAAAGTGCTTTACAAAAAATGAAAGACATTAAGAAAATGGCATTTAAAATCAGTCGTTAAAAAGAAAAGCTAATAAAATAAACATTAAAAGAAAAAAATACATGGATAAAAGTTACAGTGCAGTCTAAGATATGAATAGTTCAATTAAACATTAAAAGAAAAAGTACATGGATAAAAGTTACAGTGCAGTCTAAGATATGAATAGTTCAATTAAAAGCAGCCACAAAAATAAAAGTCTTCAGCCTGGATTTAAAAGTAGTCAGAGTTGCAGCGGACCTGCAGGTTTCTGGGAGTTTGTTCCAGATATTTGGAGCATAATAACTGAACGCTGCTTTACCACGTTTAGTTCTGACTCTGGGGACAGAAAGCTGACCAGTCCCTGAAGACCTATAATTTAGCAGGAGGTCAGAAATAAAAATTGAATTAAAGGATAAATCCTGATCAAATATAACACCAAGATTCCTTACAGTCTCACTGGAGGCCAAATTAACCATAGTTAGTACAGTATATCTTTAGATAATTTGTTTCGTAGATTCTTCGGGCCAAGTACAATAACTTCAGTTTTGGTCGTGTTTAACATCAAAAAATGTAAGGTCATCCACGTTTTTAAGTCCTTGAGGCAGTCTTGAATTTTATTTAGATGATTAATTTCATCAGGCTTGATTGATAAATATAGTTGAGTATCATCCGCATAACAATGAAAGTTTACAGAATGATTCCTTATAATATTGCCTAACGGAAGCATATATAATGTGAACAAAATAGGTCCGAGCACTGAGCCCTGTGGCACTCCATGGCTAACTTTGGTTTGCGTGGAAGATTCATCGTTGACACGTACAAACTGAGAGCGTTCAGATAGATAGGACCTAAACCAGCCTAAAGCAGTTCCCTGTATGCCAACTAAGTGCTCTAATCTTTGCAATAGGATATCATGGTCGATAGTATAAAATGCAGCACTGAGATCGAGCAAAACAAGAATAGAGACATGTCCCTTGTCTGAGGGTATTAGAATGTTATTTTTGACTTTAACCAACATGACAGCTGTCTCTGTGCTATGATGTGTTCTAAAGCCAGACTGGGTCAACGTCACAACGTCCCCGCCCTCCCCTGTCTGCTCCCCCAACCACAGGCCCGCACCCAGACCAGCATCACTGTGCAGCTCTGTGATTGGCAGAGAGACGGGGGATGCTTGAGTGACACACTCAGCACCCTATACAGGGTCGCTCCACTACCCCCCTACTACAAAGTTCCTCGCCCACGAGGAACAAATAAAACCTAGCACAAAAAAACTATAACTAAACACTGTTAGTATAACTAGGAAGGTCTGGATGGACTACCATCCCTTCCAGTGAGACCAGGGCGTATTCTTGCCCTCTACAGGGAACGAGGGGTCTCACTATACACTCTAACTACCACACACAGTCTCTGAACCGACTCGGGGGTCGTGTCTGCCTTCTCGGCAGGGGGGCTGGGGTCAGGGGGACAGGGGATGCCGGTTCTGGTCCAGGCGGGGAAAAGGGGAAGAAAGTGGGAGGAAACTCAGACACTGACGGGGGGCTGCTGCTCTGCTCGCCGGGGGACCTGAGTGGAGGTGTCGAGGGGGAGGCTGTGGGCCCCGGTGTCCCTTGGGCATGTGGAGAAGCG